CATCATCTTGAGCCTTGTCAATATCCATGGAAGTCCCGGAAGTTGCAGCACTGAAAAAAATTCATAATCACTCGGTCAGAACAGAAGTATGAGTCAGTAGGAAAACACAGAAAGACAGGACACTCACGCAGAAGCGATGGGAACATCCATCTTGATCTTGGGCAAGGTCTTCCAAGACTTTGAAGGGGCAACCTTGGGCTTCTTGGCGACCTTTTCGGACGGCTCCGGAGTCGAAGTCCGAGTGCGCTTGTGCACTTGCGGGCTCGGAGCCACAGCTTTGTTGCGCCCGCCCGTTGGATCATGAGATTGCTTGGATCGGCGCTCTATGCGAGGGGGTGAGTCGACCTCCTCTTCTTTGTCGTCCGACTCATCACTCTCTACTTCATCTTCATCGTCAGGAGATTGCCAGTCGGCGCTCTCTTCTGCGCTATCCACTCCCTCCTAGACTTGCTCCTAGGCTTGCTCCCCGTTCGGCATCGAATACATCTCAGTGTAAACCTGCAAGGCAAAAAGTTAATCAAACATCAGTCGGATTCAAAGACAGTTGCAAGACAGAATGAAGTACACTCGGTAATAAGGGTCGGACCTTGTCCGGCTGGTTGTCGGCATCGAATGGATCGACTCTCCTGGCCCCCCTGGGGTTATCTTTGTTTCCGGTAATGCTCTTCAGCCACAGGGCCACCGTCTCATCGGGGACCTCCTCTGGGTGGACCCGAGCGGTGTCATTGGAGCCCGAGTACATCCACATCGAGTGGTCATGGGCTTGGGGCGGCTGGATGCGTCGACTGAGAAACACTTCCAATAAATCCATGCCAGTTACACCCTGACGGACCAACTGAACTACCCTCTCGACCAACATGTTCTTCTCTACTTTCTCTGTTGTGGCCACAATCAGTGAAGAAGGTTGCTGGAATCGATCTAGGGTAAAGGGAGGAAGACCGGTCGACTGACCGAGGGTCGCAATGTCCTGGCAGTAGAACCAGGTCGACTGCGAGCCCCTAACCGACTCAGGAAGTGTCATAGGGGGAAAAGTGCTCCTCTTCCTCATCTGAATCCCTAAACCCCCGCACATTTGGATCACATGCATCCTCTCGTCACTCGGATTTGCCTTCTTCATGGTTTGGGAACGGACTGTGAAAATATGTTTGAAGAGACCCCGGTGCGGTCGACAACCCAAGAAGTTTCCGCACATAGAAACGAATGCAGCAAGATATGTGATGGTGTTGGGAGAGAAATGGTGAAGCTGAGCACCGAAAAAGTTCATAAAACCCCGGAAGAAAGGATGCGGGGGAAGGGAGAAACCACGGTCGACATGGGTGGCAAGGAGGACGCACTCACCCGCCCGCGGCTGAGGCTCTATCTCGTCCCCCGGCAGCCCCAAAGTCCCGACAGCTGTCAAGCCCGTGGCGGCCAGATCTTCCAGATCCTCTGGCCGGAGCGTGGATCGGATCCAGTCTCCCTGGATCCAACCAGGCGGCAACCCGGACCTCGACGACGATCCCCGGTTCGTTTTCTTGCCCTTCGCCGTCGCTGTCGCTTTCTTCGCGCGCTCCAGTGCCGCCATCTTATCCTTCACCATTATGATGGGCTGCACACTGGCGGAGCGGCGGCGTCGAGGGCGAAAGAGGACGCGGTGGAGAAGCAAAGGAAGAAGGAGAATGGGAACGCACTGTGCAAATGCATCGGCCTCGACGCCTTTTATGGGCCTACTTCCGAGTGGCTGACGCGTGGGCCCAAGCGATCCTGTCAAATCCCGCAACAGTCGTGCACCGGATATGTGGCGAAAAAGGTGGCGTGGAAATCGAGGCACCCCTGTCTATCCGTCCCGTTTACTGCGGCGCGCCCCGCCTTGCGCGCTTCCCCAAATTTTCGAGTCCCGTGAGATCCGGAAACCGCAGTAACCAATCACGCCGAAGATTTCACACCATATCAGCACTCGAAGATTGCCAGCATAAGTTCACTCGACGACCTCTGAATCGATCAAGGCGACTGAAATGAAGCCGAAGTTTCAGCATGGATCTTGAACTCCGTATGAATGCTTGTGAAGCACAAGAGTCAAGGCAGGGTCAACTTTAACTTTCCTTTCACTCGGACCTCAATCCATTCGGGGGGTAATGACGATGCCATAGACCTAGGGTAGGGTCATAGACCTGACCTATACGCCCTACCCAAGGTCACTACCCTAGAAGCAAGGACATTCAAAGTATAGCAAAGAATACTGATTGAAGCCATCATGTGCAATCCGCTCGACCAGTCGTCTCACTCGGATACCCCCAATTTCACTCGACCTGGATGAAGTCATTCGACCATATAAGAAACCACTCGGAGTACAAAGACCTAGAATCACTCAGGATGGCAATGGCCAGGCGTTCACTCTGTAGTCTTAAAGATCACTAATAACACTTTATAGCTGGCGTTACCAGTAATGCCCCTATCTTAATGCACATTGAACCCCTGTAACGAAGGACGGCTGGGGTCCTGACGCACTCTATATAAGCCTCTGGGACAAGGGTTCGCATCCCTTGTAACACACACCCATATTCCAGTCTACCGCCTCAGGGCACCAAGACGTAAGGCTTTACCTCCTCCGAGAAGGGCCTGAACTCGTAAACTCATGTGTATAACCTCGCCGTAGCTAGGGCCTTGCCTCCTCATACGTACCCCCTACTCTTACTGTCAGACTTAGTACCACGACAAGTGGTTTCACCCAATCCATGCGGGTATTATCCCCAATAATCCCCTCAAAAACTCTAGTACTCCCTCCGTCCCGAAATTCTTGTCTTAGATTTGTTTAGATACGGATGTACCTAATACTAAAATGTGACTTGATGCATCCGTATTTAGACAAATATAAGACAAGAATTTTGAAACGGAGGGAGTACCAAACAAGGCCTCAGCATTTCGGCAGAATCCATCATTAAATTAAGCTGTTGGGAATCAAGTGAAGGGCCGCCCTCTTATTCCGAAAGAATTACTGCAACAAACATACATTCAGCAGACCAGCCAGTTCCACATGACACGACACAGCACACATGCTCATTCTACTCCACTACGCTATGAGTGACAGTAGTATCATGCGCGTATGAGCACGTCAGACCATGAACTGGTGCAGAATTTGATCATATATTTAGTTACAGAAACATGCCCCCAAAAAATGTAATAGTGCTATCTTTTGCTATGCCAGCGTACGTCCAAGACAGAGCGGGTTTCGTGTTGACTTCCGGTCTCACTTGGGCGAGGTTCCCAGTTCGTACATGGAAAGCCGGCAATCTTCATCCAAAACGATGTATAAATATAAACCTAAAAGAACCACAGTGCCACTATGATTGATCTCCTAGTTAAAATAGATGTCCACCTCCGGCGACCTGCGAAATTCCTCAGCCGTCCTGAAAAACAAACGGCAGCAAAGGTTGAACAGCCTGACCAACAAAGTATCACTCTAACGATACACAAATTTCCAGGCCAAGAGCTGAAGTATGCAAACGAATGCACTTTTATTTCTCTTTTAAGAGCACACAATGGTTATTATGTTTGTCTACAGACAATTTGGGTATGTTTAATTGTGGCCAACATATACCCTACCAATTTTTCGGTCATGCCCAAAAAATTGGTCTCTGTTTGAAACTTTGGATGGATGCCAAACTTTAAACATGCCAGTGCTCCTTTTGCCTCTAGTGCATTTGTTCTTGCCAGCATAAGCCAAGCCATGGGCAAACAAAACCTTGACCAAACTGTTGCCAGACAAAATTTTGATATGTCAAACTTGGGCTCAAAGACTCAAACCAAACGCACCCTCCACCATTTCGTTTGTGGAATATGCAACTATGTACTGTAATACTGAATGAAACATCACTCGTTAGAAAATACTCCCTCCGTCCCAAAATAAGTGTCTCAATCTTAGTACAACTTTGTACTAAAGTTAGTACAAAGTTGAGACACTTATTCTGAGACGGAGGGAGTATGTGGCATGCAAATGAGGACATTAGAAGAAAAAAAACGCTAGTGGGAATGTTAATACTCGTTGATGAGCTGAACCACTGTCTTCTTCCAAGTATTCACATTGAAGAAACAAAATAGGCATTCCTAACTCTGCACCATACTACTGATCCATGAAGACATCAAAGCCCAATTTTCTACTTGAAACGTCTATTATCGTTGGATCCCCATCCAGTGTATTCAAATGTTCCGTACTGTATCTGCCTACCAGGCTGAGTAGAAAGCGAACAGCGTGAGAATGATAAACCGGCACAAATTATTCTTACAACACAAAAACGAGAAAGGTGAGGCCATGATGGGAAGCTCAAGGGCAAGGAATCAGAGAGACTTATTGAAGATGAAGAAAAGGGCAAGGAATTTTTTTTATATGCAGCACAATTTAGCAGCTTCTAGCAAATAAATCAAATTAAATAGGAGATCAAGTGAGCACAAGGTAGGACACATTTGGAGGCAAACATTATGGCCAAACAATCACCAGGTTACAGGAACACAAACTACAGGGACAGTCGGTCTCTTTGACAAGAGTTTGTGGTTTGAAAGTGAGGTCCTCTTTAAAGGAAACGACTGTTGTTTGCTAATTACACTTTGCTTCATTTAATGGAAAATGCTTGATGTGGCATACTATATACGGCTGTGAATTTTCACACCAGATGATGTAATGCTACAGATTGAGGTAACCGATTAGAGGAAAGCTGAACATACGGAATTATTATTCAAATCTATAATGATCCACACATACTGGGTTACTAACTGGTTGAACAGAAAATAGCGAATGGTTATGACAGGTGAAAAAACTTACATGTGCATGTGAGTGATCGCAAAATCATATATGCTTCAAACATTCTTATGAATATTATATAAGTCCATCAAAATCACACGTCAGTTCCACATTATGAAATTAACCTGTTTTTTCTTGGCATAAACTGTATAACAAATTTAGTGTAAGATCCCCACTTCAAGTTCAAATGAATTAATTGATATTTGGGAACTTCTTATATACCTTGTTACTTGTAGCCAACTTCCTTCATCAAGTGTCGATAGCTTCGCCCACGAATTACACGTTGCCATGAGAATGATATTGATTCTTGAAGGGTCAACTCTAGTCTCTGCTGAACAAGCCTTCGCATAACCACAAAAAAAGTGCCATAAGAAAAAAAAAACATTTACAATACCACATAAGTTCAAGAACGCACCATCTAGCAAGACAACGCTGAATCCCACGTGTGATTGGTCGCACAAAGGATGGATCTCTCTGTTGATAAAGTAAGCCAACCTAGCAAACATCAAACATATAAGCATCCTATCATCAGGCCAATACTCCATCAGAGTTTGCAATGTAGGTAGTTTTAGACATTGACATGGCTTCCAAGGTGGCACTTTGACCATCTAAAATTGTTGATTCAAATGTATGCATTATAAAAAATATATTTGTATTTGATGATAGATCTGGTAATATCAATTTAGCTTTGTAGATGTTGCTGATGTTTTCTATTTCGATGGCCAAACCTAAAAATGTTCAACTGTCACAGATTCTACTATTGAGTATCTAATGTAAAATGATCAAAATACCTCCATCATGGCGACTGCTGCAGGATCATCCAATATTTCCAGGCTATCATCTGCTAGGTAATTCAACTACAAAACACACAAATAAGAACTCTAAAACTCTGGAAAACCACAAAATACATGATGTAAAATGAGAACTTCGCCTAGAGCTTTTGAATTTGAAGATATATTGTCTTATCATTTCAATCTAACTTTGTCACTTCCCCTATTATGTGACATCCATATTTTTGTTACTGTAGAAATGCAATTGCCTGGGTAGTAGAAGGAAAGTAATAGTTACCCCAAATTCTGTGTTTACATAAGACTGAACAAAATCCATCAGTTGAATCTTTGCCCACTTATAGCACATGTCAGGATTGTCAGCCCGTGGATGTCTCCAAGGCGCACCAAAAGACAATCTGTTCTCTGGTACTTTACCCTCGCGTACATCAGAAGCAAACTTCTGCACCATACTTAATGCTGTTTGCATTGCGGGATTCACAACAGATACCTGGTGAGCAGAAATGGAACAAAGGTCATGCTCGTTTACCTCTTATATTGGCTGCTTTCTCCTAGTTTCGATAATTAATGCAACAGTACACACTTTCGATAAAAGAGCAGATCTACGAACTAGAAATAACTAAAGCTTTCCAGGATGAGGAGAATGACATCTCATACAGCATAGGTGCTTCAGCTGTGATTAAAACATTTACTTACTTGCAAGTGTGCCAGGTATGTGTCAATAATTTCCTCAATGTTTGTGTCATGCAAAACCCTGCAATCAAATGGATATTAAACAACAATAGCAGTAACATGAAGTATGAACGCATGGCAGTGTCCAACAGACTGAGGTTGATGCTCTTAATATACTATGTTTGGAATCCTTAAAATATGATGAAACTCTGCCACTCAATAGACTTAACTGCAAACTATTAACCTGCTGAAGATTACTACCTCCATGAGGAAATAGATGATGTCTGCAATCACACTTCTTTAATTTTGACTGATGATATATAAAGAAAATATTCAGATTTGACATGCAAAACTAGTACTATTAGATTCGTCATTTTATAATATTAAAGTTAATCAGTTTCTTACTAAGATATTTGTGTGGGATGAGAAGTAACAGTCAAAGTTGTATGTTAGAGATTGCCCATGTCTGAAACGACATGGATTTAAGAACAGCGGAGTGTTATTTTTGAAAATAATAAGGCTCAAGGACTAAAGACTTCAAACACTTCCGTTGTAAGCGACAGTTTATAGAATTAATTGATAAAAGCGGTAATGCTACTTACTCTGGGTCATTCGCCTTTTGCTTTAGCATATATATCTCACATAATTGTCGTGGGTTTGGTCCAAGAAGCTCATCAACGACTTTCCACTATAACTTCAATAAACATCAGAAGGAAATTATGCACGCAGTTTGCACAACGGAGAAAAGAAATGGAATTAGCAAGTATAAAATCTTACTACCTCCTGTTCACTGAAGAACTCAGAAACCATATGCAGCTTAGCTTCTTGTGGTGTCCAACCAAACGTCTGTGGTATAAAGTAATCATGACTTTAGGAAAACGAGGAAAAAGAACAACTGTCCAAAAGTAAACTAAGCATACCTCACGAGAAATGAAGATATTAGGAAAACCAAAATCGACGAATGCTTGGGAAGAATAGTATCTGCAAAGATTTCAAAAGGAATATTAATTTTACCAATTTACATGGAGAGTGTTCTTAGCATTTGAATCAACAGATAAATTGTGCATTCGTAATGTGGATAGTACAACAAACCAACAAAGTAGGTCAGACCCTTATGCTAAGGCAATACAAATTTCTCAATCTTGTTGCAACTCGCAAGTCTTTGAGCATTCATTTAGTCTCTATGCATTCTATTCATTCCAAGTAATGCAACATTCATCAAACATAGCATGCAGAAAGAAACATGCAGGCAGACACTTACCCATCTGAGGTGGACATAATGACCGGTAAGCACTGTTCATTAGCACCGAGTGCTATCACCCTCCAAATGAAGCTGTCATGGTACACTGCTGCGGGTACCATTGTATCGTCCTCGCATGTCGCCTTCCTCAGGGCATCAACGTTGTTCAGCACCAGCTTTGGCTGCAAATCAACAATGTCATCACTGGCACACTGCCTCACATTGTCCTCATGAACCCTCGCACCAACTGAAATCACACAAAATTCTACCTGGAAAAAATCCTCCTCGGCTGCGCCTGACAACACATCCAGCAAGAGGCATGGCCAGTCTGTGGCCGAATTGGCCAGTGGACGGGAGAACCGGCCTGTCCTATTCATCTCCCGCACCGCCTCCTTCCTCCACCCCTCCTGCATCCCGAGAACTTCCTTGGCCACACGCAGCGCCGCCATGGCCTCCTGCATGTACGCCCTCTCCTCCATGGAGCAGTTCGTTGCCTCCCCCTCACCAATGCGGAAGGTGGGGTCGTCACCACGGGCCGAGGAGGTTGCAGCTAGGACAGCCCTTGCCCAGAGCACCGGAACCGAGTTAGTGCCCTGGCCGCGGCGGGAGGCAGGGCCCGCGAGGCGAGAGAGCACGGTGTGGAGGCCGTGGGACCGTGAGAGCGCGGCGAGCACGTCCTTGGAACCGACGGCACCTCGGAGTACTGCGGCGCGGGTGAGTTCCTCCAGCGCGGACTCGAGCCGGAGGCGGAGGGAGGGCAGGGAGGGGGGCGTGTCTGAGAGGAGAGACCAGGGCGCATGAGCAGGGGAACTGGGAGAGGGGTGGAGGAAGTCGACGAAGGCAGCGTAGTGCGGGGGCTCGGACCACTGAGGGAGGAGGCGGTTGAGGAGGAGCGTGGACTTGCCGACGCCGCGGGGGCCGTGGAGGAGCAGCGGCTGCGGCACGCGCGGGTGGAGGGCGTGGTTGTGGAGGACGGTCTCCATGACCGGCCGCGGGATCACACGCCACGGGCGGCCGCCTGCCCTGGCGGCGGCGGCAGCCATGGCGAGCGGCGGCGCGCGGAGGTGGTTGCAGGGTTCTGTGGGGTTTCCGGGGAGACGGGTGTGGTGGTGGTTGTGAACACGAATGGAGCGACAAAGAGAGTCAGATGGGATCGCGAAGTTCCGGGCCGGGCCAGGCCGGGCAGGAATAACACCAGGCCTGGTTATTTTCTTGTATGGGGCGCCCTATGAAATAGGACCGCAATAGGCTAGTTAACGAGCGTTGAGCGCTCCTAACGATCGGTTCGCGAGCGCTTCGCGCGTGACAAGTGTCGCGCGCGGAGCGCTCCCGCAAAGGAAAAACAGCTGGCGCGGTTGGTTCTTGGTTTTTCCTTTTCGGTTTGTGGTTTCGTGCGTTTTGCAGTTTGACCCTCGAACTAATATAATTTTTCGCTTTTTCCTTTCCGTGCGATTAAACAAAGAAAAAACCAGTTTGCGCGGGTGGTTCCCTGTTTCCCTTTCGCGTTTCCTTTTTTGTTCCCATTATATTTCCGGATAATGGAAATTTATGGGGTAGTTACGGGTGGAGACTACCAACGCTATCAACTGTGAACTTTTAAGTAAGGAAGAAACAACAACTATTTAACTGTACTCCGGCGCGAGGGAACGTCCTGCTCGCCTTCGGCTCGTTTAATTTTTATAAACATCTTGAAGGGGGGGCATAGGTCGAAGTGTGTGTTGGTCGTGCAGTGTGCTGGTTCGTGCGGCTCGTTCTCCGTCGTCGTGTGACACGGCGCCTCCGGCGCGAGGGAACGTCTTGCTCGCCTTCAGCTCGTTTAATTTTCATAAATATCTTGAGGGGGGGCATAGGTCGAAGTGTGTGTTGGTCGTGCAGCGTGCTGGTTCGTGCGACGCGTTCTCCGTCGTCGTGTGACACGACGCCTCCAACGCGAGGGAACGTCATGCTCGCCTTCGGCTCGTTTAATTTTTATACAACAGGTCGTGCAAAAGGCAAGCTCCTTTGTTTCGAAAGGCACGGGTTTGAAGCATGTGCAGGCACGGGTTTGAAGCATGTGCAGTCACGTCTGCTTAAGAACTATGTGCGTGCATGCACATTTGTGCATCCTACCAAGGCATTGGTATATTGTCTCCGGAGGCACGGGTTTGAAGCATGTGCAGTCACGTCTGCTTAAGAACTATGTGCGTGCATGCACATTTGTGCATACTACCAAGGCATTGGTATGTTGCCTCCGGAGGCACAGGTTTGAAGCATGTGCAGTCATGTCTGCTTAAGAACTATGTGCGTGCATGCACATTTGTGCATCCTACCAAGGCATTGGTATGTTGCCTCCGAAGGCACGGGTTTGAAGCATGTGCAGTCACGTGTGCGTAGGAGTTAGGCATGGTTGAATCTCTAGAGGAATGTGCGTGCATGCACATGTGTGTATTGTGCGAAGGCATTGGTATGTTGCCTTCGGAGGCACTGGTGTGAATCATCTCCAGTCACGTGTGCATCTTAGCTAGCCACGGTTGAGGCGCTCTTCGTATGTGTGTGTGTGGATATTGCCCGGAGGCATGGTGACCCAGACTTTGGTGGCACAAGGCCATGTCTTTTGGTGGCACAAGGCCATGTCTCTTCTGGAAGCACGGGAGGGTGGTCTCTAGAGTCACACGTAAGGGTTCGTTTTGGAAAACACTATTGTCGTACAAATAAGAAGAGACACTGTTGTTTATAGTGTACTGGCACTCTCTGATGATGTTGTTTTTTCAACATGAACACGCAATTTCTAACTATATTACATACAAATGTGAGTTAGTGATAAACTTTTTTGTCGCGTCTTCATAGAATTAGCCTCGTGGGCTAAATCAAAACTTTTAGTCTTCATTCTTGCTGAAGATCTTGCTAATCTCGTCACCCATTTCACTAGCTTTGACTTCATTCATCTTGCTACTTAAGAGAATGTACATTGCCTCTGCCCTCCAGTCTTCGACCTCATCCTGTGAAAATTTTGCCGAGAAAAGAAGTATATTATTAGAGTTGGTGCATAAAAGTTGTTTATAAGTAAATATATATAGACTTACAGTCAAATCTTCCAGATCTTCGACGAACTTTTCACCATTGTAGAGGAATGCAAGCTTTAAAACAGCAAATGGTGATTCACCTTTTTCTACCACTGGAACATCTTGCGCGGTTTGAATCTGCCATCTTGTTTTCTTTGCATTCATTGTTTGTTCAATTATGGTGTTGAAGACTTCTTTAATCCTAGGCACTTGGGAATTGTATTTTGTAATTGTTTTAATATTGCAACTTTTAAAACTGAAAATATTGTTATGTATAAATGCTTACGATTGCCGACTTATGAGCGTGATATTCCTGAAACTGTCTTTCTCTTTCTTTTTGAGCATCTTCATGTTTCTGAAGAACTTCACATACTTCATCTGGACGCAATTTATCAATATATATCTTTTCTTTCTCAAATTCCTCTGGAGTCACTTCTCGAAGATCAATAATGTGAACTTTGTGTTTGTATTTGTCCAGCACATATAATACGTAGCGGTCGTTTCTTCTCCATTGGAATGAATATCTACGTACAAAAAACTTTTTGGTTTCCTCACAGTTTAATATAAAGTAATTTGATAGAACGCATATTTTGTGATTTTGTCGTGGAGGAAAGGGATGTTACCATGTTTGCTGTTGAGAGCTTTTTCCGTTGATTTTCTTTGAGATACATGGGAACCAGCTGATTCTTTGTTTTTTGCAATTCACTTTTAAATTTTGCAACACTAGTTTTCTCTTTATTTAATTTTAGTATATGCTATACACAATAATTACGATGAAAAAAACTATTAGAAAAAAGAGTTGTTTAACAATATAAAAAGAGTATGTGTTGCAATATACAGAAGATTTTGCTTTTTAAAAGTTTACCTCTGCAAAGTTTGGGCCTAATAATACTTTGTCACTCTCTTTTGAATCTTGTCTGCTTTCCCAGATTTCTGCTATGTCATCGAGCACCCTCTTTTTCATATGATGTGGTATGTTCGTTTGTGCTGGTCTTGGACCAAATACAGCCTTCAGTTGGGCTCCAGTAAGCTGCGTGCTTTCACTGTCCCTACGGATGCGCCTAAATTTAGTCTTGCTGCGGTAGGGAGAAAAAATAATTTTGGAGGTCATGGACAGTGAGAAATAGATTTTTACATTATTTTTCGCCTCTGTCCAAATTATTTTGAGGTGCAACAGAAAACAACTCACTTTTTGTATTCCTTCTGCCAGTTGTCGCTCATGACTAGTTGGAAGAGGTCGGACGCCTCCTTTGTCTGTTGAAAGTAATGAGAATGTTTTGGGTATGGATTGGTGCTTCATCTTTTTTTCCTTTTTGTTTCATCTGTTTCTGTCATCGGAAGCAAATATATAATGTGTAAGCTCTCGTGATACGAAAGACATTGGTCAACCGTTGGATGGGTAGGTCATTACAAAAATAGAAGATAACCAGAAATGATTTTCTTACCTTTGTTGGTGGAAAAGAAGTTTGAAGTTTCTGGTTTGAATTCTTTGATTCTTCCAAGTAGTTGCTCGCACTTTACTTGGTTTGTTTCACCAAATATGGCTGTAAAAAGGAACTCTGGTTTCCACTCGGCATCTACGTTGCTTTGCTGCATGAAGGTCATCGGATATTCTTTCATTTTTCTTTCATTGGATAATTGAAGTATTCAAGTAGTGTTGCTTCGGAAAATTAAAATTGTTGCTCTCGTACTATTAACTTACATCGAAATCCTCATCATCTTTTATGAAATCAATGCCATTCCAGTATTTTGCAAATTGAACCATGAAGTGTCCGCATTGGGTACCCTTCTGTTTTGGCACGCAAACTCTGTTAGGTGTTTCTGCTATCCTCGACCAGTTTGGTTCACTATTGGCTCGTAGTTCTGCTTCGCCGTAATGCTTCTTCATGAGTGTGTGCATCCTTTTAATCTATGATTATGGTTTGGTTTTATTGTTAGATTTTGCCATTAAGGAAGGGATTGCAGGAATTGGAAAACCAATTAGAAAACCAAGGTTGAATTGACGTACCAGTTCTGGGTGATCCTTATGGTGTGTTTTCCATGTAGTTTTTTCGTCTCCCTGTCTGTAATTCAGTGAGTCAAGTATGTTGATGGAGCTCGTGTACTTGTTAAGCACGTATAGTGTGAAGTGTTTAGCTGTGTTGTGAGGTATCATAATCTGCGGTGTTTGGAGACATGGAGACAGAGTGAGTTAAAGTTCATTCTTGCCAGAAGAATTAAATGACATGTAAATGTGCAATCTGTAGGAAGAATGAATTATGTTTATATATTTCTATTAACTTGCCAGCTTTTTCTTTAAAAGTTCCTTCCCTGTTACAAGGGGTGCAAATTGTTTCAATGCTTCGTCCTCATTGAATTCTGCTAGTCCTCCTTCTTCTCCAGTATTAATGTCGAGCACAATCTGCGACAAAAAAGTTTTCTACTTTTTAGTTCAATCTTTGTAATCACTGAAATGATGCAAGTGTTTTTGTCAAATTGGACTTCATACGTTTGCAAATTCTACGGGAAGTATGGCTTTATCGGTTGTGTTGTATTGTTGCTGCAGTGTCCATTCTTCGAACAATGCATTTGCGATGGAGCCCTACATCTGTCCTTTATCTCCTCTATGTAGTTGTTCCATTATTTGTTTTCCTGTAATCCAATCGGGTCGCTTCGAGCTAATATATACGTTTAGTCTGCAACAGCAAGAAAAAGTTTATACATTAGTTAGGTGGGTTTAAAAGGGAGCAACATTTCTTTGTTTTTTTGTTGTGACCAGAGAAAGTACTTCCTCTCCACATTCTTCCTGTCCTTCTTTGTTGAATAGGTATTCATGAAGTGCTCTGGCTTTGTTCATATATTTAAAATCTCCTGGGACAAAAGTAGAAATCATGATTTTTCCATGGATCCTGTTTGAAGGCTTTACCGGCCTCTTCTTGACCGAGATTTTCTTGTCTGGGTTGTTTTCAGATGATTGAGGCATTGAATGTTTTCCTGATTCTTGCTGCAAGATTGTCAAATAT